TTCAAAAAAGAAGATGACATTGTAATAAAACGATGAAATCGGACGAATAACATTTTTTGCCGCTTACAGCTTAATGAAAAAGAAGACACAATCATTAAGATACGAGTCAAACCTTTTGAAATAGCTTACAATTTTCACATGTCACATTGACAAATTCCACCAATAAAACTAACCTCTAAAATTGGATTGCCAAGCATTCGAATAAACCACAAATCGAGAACCGAATGCATCAATGTTTCACGTCATTCGATACAAATCGATTGCAAATCACTCGAATCCCACAGGGATTGAACTTTTATGGTGTCGTTCTGATGTTGATCTTCTATTGTTGGAGTAGATTACTCCCTGGCGTCCCAAACGGCGCCAACTTATATAATGAAGACAAGGAATAATGGAAAGTGACTTTTTATATAAAGAATTGCTCTATTATGTACCTTATAAATCACTGTAGTATAGTGAACGAATGTTTCCTTACAATGTTCTGTATATTGTTAGGGAAATTCGCGTGTTCCCTTTTTGAATAGTTTTTGTACTACTAGATTTTTATGGTGCCAATAAAAGTAATAATGTGTGTTTATTGGCACTTAGATTGCAATATTTTACGTATCTCTTCTTTTTCTTTAATCCAGCGTTTGTGTTTTCTTCGGCAATAGACTCGCCTTTTATCATAATTTGAAAAACTAACGTAGAGGTATGAACTTTAAGTTCGTGTTTCGATCATCATTTTTATGTCTAGAGTAATATTATAAAGAAAGATTTGATTCCCTTTTTCTTCTTTCCTTAAATAGGCCCAGAACAACATGACCAATTTAAAAAAATATATTTTTAAATTATTGGCACTCATATCCTCGGTGAATATAGACCAGATACAATGCGATTCAAACCGCTGGGCAAAGATATTTTATTTAAAGTATAATTATAGAATCATTACATTATGAAAACATACATTTTAGATCTCTTGAGTTACAGGCATTACAGAATTCAGTACACCCACACATTGGTAGTAAAGGCATAACTCAACAAAGCCGTGACCAATTAAGACAATTTACTTTTTGTTTTGTTTGTTATAGACAGAAAAGATTATTATGAAAGAAAATATTTGGAGAGTTTCAAACAGTTCTAGTTTCAGAAGGAATTCGGGCTAGAGCAACCTTTTCATAGTTAGCATGGTACAAACAAACCAGTTGGTTGCGAATACAGCTCGTGAAAAACAGTCCCGTTGTGACTGGAAACTAGTAAAGATTTTCTCAGTTAATTCAGGTGAATGTAACATTATTTTCAATAAAAAAAATACTTTATATGTGACACGTTAAAATAAATCTGCTTAAGGTCTATTTTGTTTTGTTGTTATGTCATTAAGACACATTTTTATTTGACACGACTATGGAAAAGATACCTATCAACGCCGAGTGGGCGAAATCAACCTTTAGCTTTACGAACCCAGTGGGCGTTAATGATTCATGCCTTTTCAACACAATATCCCAGTAAATAGGCTACCTACGCGTGGGTACAAGTTTTTATTTGGTTTCACAGTTTTATTCTTTTATTGTCTGTACTTGTAAAAATAAAAGTTTTAATCGTATTAGGCTATTGATAGGTTAATTAATTTGATGTATTCATAAGCTATTAAAGCGTTCAATGTCTATTTTTTCTACTTATTTGAAATTACTTTGAGCATCTACAAAATTTTTATTCTATTATTTTTAACTTCTGACAGTGTTTTGTTTGTTTTATTAGCAGACATGGTTTTTATAGTTCTGATTTATTTAATAAAAGATTTTTGTAATCATTATGACATGTATTGTGTCGATGTCAATCCCATCGTGTTTTACGTAACTCATATTATACTAGGTATAAACCTAGACGTTAAGTTTAGATTTACTGCAACTCAATGAATAATATAATAGACTGCCTTAAATTGAAATTGACAATTGCAAAACAATGAGTACCTACTCTGATTATTTTACAAAATCTAGCAACTTATTCTTATTTCTGATCCATGTCTACGTCTTATTTCATATTATAGTTTATATCTGTGCCAAGTTTAACCCAGGCCCAATGAAGTAGTTTTTGCGCGATAGTCCAACAAACATGAACCTGTCCATCTATTCCTTCATCAATATCAGTAAGATTTTAGAAGTAGTAGGTACATGTTTCAGTTATTCAAAAAGTGTTGCTTCAAAATAACTGTGTAGATATGAATATTCCCTGATTTTTTCATCACACAATACAAAACGATCGATAAATGTTACCACGCAACAATATTATCTGCAATCTTACATTTACTGGAACGACAATTAATTCGTACAAATTGAGCAATATTTTATCAGCATTTTTGGTCGAAAATAATTAATTTAAGACCTAATATCTGTCGATTCAGGGTCCAAAATGCCACGGTTGAAGTGTCAGGATGTCACGTCAGAGAACACGCTGTATTAACCGTGTTGCTTTGTTACAATTAAACTGAACGGCAACCCGAACTGTGACAATTATTGCAAGTGTTGTAATTGATGCTCTTCACACAGAGGTTGAATGACAAGAAATTTTAATGCAACTAGAACATGCTATTTTAAAAATAAAATAAGAATGCAATTGAATGAAAGAAATGAAAGAATGCAAGAAAAAGACTGTACTACACATACACCTTACATAATTCATATCCTCTCTCTCTCGCCTTACCCTTGGCGGAAGAAGTCATTTGATAATTTTCCGCTGAAAAAAACATATTTAAAATTCATAACCCATAAAACTGTGTGTGTGTGATGTGTATGTTAAATTGTATGTAAACAAACCTGTGGATTTTTCTTAAATCAAAATTTGAATAGAATTTGCCTAGTTGGCAAGTGCTACCTCTTATAGACATATACTTATTGTATAGATAAGAGGAGTTCAAAATGTTCCTATTCCAAGAACATATTATTCAGAATCAATCCTGTCACACGACCTAGTAACGTATAGCTATGTAGTGTGTGAGTATTGTCATCGTTAATCAAATAGTCGACTTGACTTGACAGCCAATTTTCAGTGTCATAATCAGAGCCTCTCCTGAATTACATATATCACTTATGATATCGCTCTAATATATTCGCATTTGCAAAATGTTGTTACTGCAAAACTAAATTAATAAATAAATCTATAAAAATGTTTACATTTTCGATCTTTGTTTTTTTTCTATTTCGTAATTTTTTAGATAAAAAATATCCTGCACATCACATCACATCATCATCCTATAAGTACCACTGCTGAGTAAAAGCCTTTTCTTACACGGAAAAGTTTTAATCATTAATCACCACGCTTACTCAAGGCGGATTGGTGATTTCAAACTTATTATTGAAAATTACGTTGTAAATGTACGTACATAAGTCCCCGTTACCTCACGATGTTTTCTTTCGCCGTGCGTCTGTGGTTTCTAAATGAGCATAAAAAGTACGTATAACGAAAAAGATGGGCCACGGCCACGGCCTTCATAAAACTTGAATGCAATGATACAAATTATTGACTAAAAACTATGCTTAATATTGTAAAGCTGCTCGATGTTCCTGTTCAATCTCAAATCAGAACAAAGAGACCCATAAACCTGTGTTCGGTAGAGGACTTCTAATGACTCTGTAAATGTTACTGACGATGACAACGATGACACCAGTTAGACGTAGTATACCTAACTATAAGTACTATCGACAAAACATTGTAGTATATTGTTTGTGTATCCGAACGTAACACAGGTACAGACGTTGTGAAATAACAGTGTAACCAAGTACTAGAAGGGCACAGGCGGTATTTTTATCATAATGAGCAACATTGTGTAGATTCCCTCGTGTTCTATAAGCCATTTTACTTGCCCCTTGTCATCCTAAGATGTAATTAATTATAGCTAAAATTTAAATTTATAGAATCAGGCCTTAATTTGCGGAAATTCATGACATTAAATGTTAGGGAAAATATTTAGTTTTAATTCCGCGGGACATCCAGAGGATGCCCTGTGGAGGCGCGAAACACGTGTCGAGTATGGGTTTGATTGCGTTGTTGTTTTTCCGTTTTGTGTATGTGTGCATATGCATGTTACCCTTTCTGCATGTGCGTATGCATGATTGCATAGGAGTGGGATTGCATCCTGCAACAAGCCTGGATTTTTGTCGCGGAATTAAAACTAAATATTTTCCCTCACCTTTTTAAAATTAATACATGGTGTGTTTGCTAGCATTAGTTATTTCATTCAATTAAGAAATACTATGATATTCTTACATCGTAGTAAGTATTTCTCTCTCATTTTAGGATGACAAGGGGCAAGTGAAATTGCTTATAGAACATACATCTTCATTACGAGGATTAAAACATAAGTTTTTATTATGAAACACGTCGACCAGAAACTCCAGGCCAGTCTGTAGCACATCAGTTAAATTAGACACGCATATGTGATTTTTCAGATCAGTCTGAGAACATAGTATGAGAGTTTATTCACACGTAATCGCTGAATGTTCACATTAGACATGCAGACAATATAAAAACTTTACAGTTATCAATGTTTTTAATAATATAAAGCACGAGTTCAAGCACATGCAATCAGGGTTATTAGGTAATTTTTTTTATTAACTAGATGGTAGTTATTTAGCAAGAATGAGTATCTCAGTAATTTTATTTAAGTTGGCCAATGAGCAGTTACGTTGATTATACAAAAAGCCTCGTGCTGCCATCTTGTGAATAAAATGGGTATTAATCTTAAAGCTTATTGAGACGCCACTAATATACACTAAAGGAAAACCTCACGAGGAAATCTGGACTTACAGTTTCAAATTGTAAGTTTAAAATCGCCAATCTGCTTTGAGTAAGCATTCGCATTGTAATTAATGAGCACCTTCTCCGTGTGAGAAGATACCTGTCCTTACTATATTGGGCACTAAAAGACTAATGATGTATTAATGCTAGGCAAAATACTCCTAACTTCGTTCTAGAAATTTCTTCCAAACCTAATTCCTTTTCTCTTGTTCCAGATAATATGCACAATGGAGGAATACAACGTGACATACGAATCGCTGGACGATATGATGAATCAGTCGGAGAGTAACTACCAGCCTTATTATGAAAGGCCGGAGACATACATAGTGCCGTTAATATTCGCACTGATTTTCGTCATTGGAGTAGTCGGCAATGGGACTCTAGTAGCCGTGTTTGTTCGCCACAAAGCTATGAGGAATGTTCCTAATACGTGAGTATGATTATTTCTTTGTAATCTATATATAGGTATATATAAAAGAAAGTCGTGTTAGTTACTTCATTTATAACTCAAGAACGGCTAAACCGATTAAGCTGAAAATTCGTGGGGAGGTAGCTAAGAACTGGGAGAAGGACATAGGATAGGATAGAGTAGGTAGTGTAGGTTAGGTAGAGTAGGGTAGGTAGAGTAAGGTAGGTAGAGTAGGGTAGATAGAGTAGGGTAGGTAGATTAGAGTAGGTAGAGTAGGGTAGGTAGACAAGGGTAGGTAGAGTAGGGTAGGTAGAGTAGGGTAGGTAGTCAAATGACGGGAGCGACGACGCTAGTAAGTTTAGTTGAGCTAGTATATTTTAAAAATAGGGTTTGTATATGGATGGTATAGGTCGCAAACGAACAGATGTGTCCCTTGATGGTAAGCGATCAGCAACGCCAATACACCTGCAACACCTCCTCAAACAAAGCCGTTACTAGCCATTGAGATATATTATAAGAAGAAGTACCTATATTAAGTGTGGGAGAATCATGCTTCGCTACGAATGGCTGGACCGGAGTGATACCATGGCGTCAATTCTGAAAGGCCGGTATGCTGTAGTCGTACGGTTTACTAACCGTCGTGAAACAAATACCATTGTATTTCACCGTATCAGCTAGGTTATCGGAGGCGTAATTCTCCCACTTCTCCCATCCCTTCCAAGACCCTGAATCTCCGAAACTCTAATCCTCAAAAGCACCGCACTCGTAACTCCTCTGTCCATAGGCGGCGCCGATTGCTTACCATCAGCTAATCTGTCCACCCGATGCTGACCTATCACACAAAACAAAAGAAGTACGCTCTTTTCTTGTAGATTTGAAAGTCTTTCGGTTAGGGAACACCACCAATTTGGCCGTATTCTGGTTAGACAACTTAGGTTAGTCGACATACATGATTTACAAAGAGAATAAGATTTCAGATTAATTTCACGTCCCCAAAAACCGAAATGTGATTCTGTTAATATACAGAAATACATGAAAAACGCAATAATTTCTTGTCTATCGATTTAACCGTAACTAACTTTTTAATGGTATTATTTGACTCGTTAACAACTATAGATAATTGTTAGTTTTCCTTCGGAAATACGTAATGAACACTTAACTTTTTTGACATAAGTTAATGTTTGGGTGTTTCGCGCGTTAAAGAGTTTTTCTATATTTAATTTTAAGCTAGTACAAAGTATATTAGCATCCTGGATTTTTAGCGCTTGCAACGTTACACTTACAGAGTTAAATATTTAATAACATTAAATTCTAGGCAGTTAATATAAAAGTAATCTCTTGCCTTTAAACTGTGGCAGAATGTTTTAATATTAAATTTAAAGAGCTACTATTTACAAGGACAAATACCTGAAGAATATTTATTTAGTAGTGAAAAATATTTTTCGCAGACATAATATTACATTTTCCTCCTTAAAGTAATATTTATTTTTGTACGTTAGTTTAACATGCAACCTACAAGGGCTCGCTGAGTCAAGGTCTCTTCTCTATCGGAGAAGGTTTGAGAATTAATGACCATGCTAGCTCTTGGTGAATTGGCGATTTAAAAATTATAAATCCAGGTTCCCTCACAAACGGATCACCGCAACGCACCGCATCGCGGGTCTGCGGACGGCGAGTCAGGGTAGCTCGCCGCCCGACTAGAAACAGACCCCAGTGTACGGCGCGTAGCGTTCCGCGCGCGCCTCAAAGAGCCAATAGACCACCACAGACGGGGCCCTAAAGGGCTGATGTTTAGCCGGGGTTGCGGGGTAAGCGCAATGAGGCACCGTGACCTCGGACCAAAGCAGGAACAGGAACGAGGGGTTTTTAGTCAGTAAGAGTGTGACACTCCCTCCAGCCCTATCCTGGGCGGAAAAAGTAATTTGATTATTTTCACCTCACAAAAAAAAGGGATCCCTCAGGATGTTTTCGTTCACTGTACGCAAGTATTGTTTAACCTCTGTCGGTCTTAAACTGGCGGTATATGAGACACAATAGAAAACACATGGTGTCTCGCGTAGATCTGCGTTTCGGCATCGGGTTAAATGAAAATAGAAAAAATATATAACTCAAAAAAGTCACATTGGTACTAGCCAGGTTTGGAACCTCGCTTAAAAAACTTTGACCCTCCTTCTCGCCCACCAAGAATATAAAACAGCACATTTAAAAGACCAAAACATATAAATACTTAGGCAAGTAAGGTAGGCCATCAAACAACTATTAAATTTTCCAAATCTAAAGTAATTGTAAGACTTTTCAATCTCTTTGAAAACTGAAATTTATTGACTACATGATCTAGTAATATTTTAAAAGGAATTTAATTGGATTCTCACGTCAATTTTCTAGAATAGAAAAGATAGGGCGATCATTAATTATGAAGATTTACTTGGAAACTTTGCTGTACTTACCTAGCATTAGAAACTATTCAAGTTCAGTTACACTTCAAAGAGAAGTTAATATGAATTTTAAATGAAAATTCACTTTTATGCCATTAAAACAATGACTTGGATCTGAAATCGCATTATTGTCAACCTCGTCTATCGTCACTTAAACCTTATTTAATTAACCTAATACCTAATATTTTGGAATAGTAACTATCGTGAGACATACTAAATTTATTGAAAATATCGACTAACGGCTGATTTTTTAATGGTTAATTAAAAGTTATCTGTGGAATAATTATGATGGTGTCGCGTCAGAATGTGTGTATAAGACAGTGACGGCAAGAATTGTATTCCTCGGGTAACATTTATCTTACTATTGAAAAATCAGCCCTTAGTCTCGTGAATTAAGTTAATCCCTGCCAACTGAGTTAGTGACTCAGTTGAGTGCGCGACGTCGACGCGAATATGAGTCCCGTTGTAACTCGAAACTAGTAGAGCTTTTCTCGGTTAGTTCACGTGATTATATCAGTATCTTCAATAACCAAATAATATTTACCTATAATTGAACTCTTTATAGCAACAAAAATAATAAAATTTTCATTTAACTAAAATAAATTATGAAATATTTTTACATCAACTGGGCTAACAGTTTTAAGAAAAATAGCAACAAAATTCCGTCACTATGTCGTGTTTCTCGACTCTTTGAGTGAGCCTTGAAAATCTCGTATAACATTTTACTACCTTCGCATTGCAGATCGATAAGATTGAGAGCTTTATTAATCAATAATCAAGTTAAAGGCATTTGGACTTTAACTGTCTTAGTGTGGTTTCAAAGCTGAAAAGTACGAATTTGACTTCTTCCGCGTTAAACAAATCTTCTAACCTTATTTAGACACCACTGAAAAACGGTAAACAAAATCAGCGCTAGGAAACCTGAATTTATAATTGCTTCTTATAAGTTTGGAATAGCCAAACCGCCTTGAGCAACCATGTTGAATAATGCTGAAATGTTTTCCATGTGAGAAGAGGCTTTTGCTCAGCAGTGGGCATTCATAGGCTGATGGAGTGGTGTCTAGTGTCTTTAAGTACCATAATCTTTAAGTAAATCTTAAAAAAATACGTACTTAATTTAATTAATAATTAGAATAAGTAGACCATGACCCAAATCTAAAGCTGTTTTGGACATCAAAACACTTATTCATTCCCTGTTAAGACCAGCTCATTGTCTAGGTCAAACGACCGGGTGTGTAAGAAGATACTTGACATTAATTGAAGTCATCCTTGTTAAGGGAATATGACCCTTATAGCCTTGGATAAAACACTACGCTCACGATTTATTATCCTTTAATGCGATATGTCTAGGAAACTTTTATTACTTAGCTAGCCTTTAAGACTTACTGACGGAGCTTGACATGTTTATTATGAAAACTATTTATTAACATTAAAACGTGACTTTATTTGTAACTTTTTTTCTATGTTATTTTCGTTGCAAATATATTTCTTCTAGCTAAACCAATGCGTTTTTTTCCGCTGCTCATCTCCTATTAATATTAGTGTGATATTCCTTTCCTCCATCGATTAATCTATAAAAAAAGTAAACTAATTATAGAATTTAAAAGCTGGAGTTATTTTATTTTCGAAATACTTAAGTACAGTAGCAAATTTTGGTAACGCCTTCTAGTGCTAAACGGTATGTACCTACACTATATAACATGTGTATACATGTGTACGTCAGAAACGCCAAAGGCGTCACAAGCGCGTTCTCTATGAAGCTCAATATTATAAAACTTAACATTAGTAGGGAAACTTAGGTTTTCAAATGTAAGTAACAAATAAACTTAGCTTAAAGAACAAAATACGTTACCAAATTAAAAAATAATAATATAGATTTACATATTCTAAATTCATTTTCGCGTAATCTTACTTCTTCCATTTTAAAAACTACCCTAGCACTCAATATATACAGTTGGTTTTACTACAAAATGCTAGCTTATCACGAGTGAGTGAGTACAAAATTACAGGCACTTAAATCGTTTAAAGATTATCTTCAGAGCTCGTATAGGCAAACCATTAGACTGGTTTCACTCGCTCTGAGATATGGAGAAGTGTTTGAGAAAGTGTGAAAGTTTCAGTGGTTCAATGAAAACTCGTTTCTACTTTAGTGTCTATATTTAATCCAGACTTAGTCAAGTACCTCGTTTTAGTCAAATCTTGTAGTGACGTAAGATATTTTTTCTTTTTTTCTGGAATATATTTGCAGGCGTGCTTATGGATCAACTGAAGGTAATTGGCGCTGCTCGCAACACCAGAGAAGTAATAAGTGCATTAATGGCCTTTTAGAGCTTGTTCAGAATTTGAGGATTTGAGGATTTGGGATTTGGGTGTTGGAGGAGATTTAGGGCCTCCTCCCGTAAGAGGTTACATGAAGCCCTAAATGTCCCTGCCCTACTCCCTCCCCCCTCTCCCTAAATCGTTGCATTGAGGTCTTCTACGGTGAAAGTTAACGCAAGCGTTGTTTGACGCCAGTTTTCTGTAAAGTCGTTATACCTGTCTCTCAGGTCGAGCCGGCCTACTCGTGCCGAAGTATGGCCCTCCCACATTTGATTACCCTTATCGTGTACTGCACCACTACACATTTGTCAAAGAACGAGGAAATTCTGTATAAGTATCAAACGCTTAACTGTCAAGGCCTTTTATCTTTTCAAGTATACTGATATTACATCTGAAAAATATAGCCAATTTTACTTATATTCCTCATTGCAAATCTATTTTATGGCCGATTCTATATTTTATTGGTTAAGTTGTCCCAAAGGCGTCAGCTGAACAACAAGAATCGTTTTAGATTCACAGGTTAAGGAAGTATCGGGATTATTTTCTGAATTATACGAAAATTTCTCATTAGTAGCACGAGGTTTGCCGTTGTGCTCGATACATGTTAAAAGGCTCACCACCATTATATGCGATTCATTATTTGTATAGCAGTAGAAAAGTGGGTGCAAATTATACTTATGACCTGGCATTATGTGGCACTATGCGCCACTCTGCACATGTCATTAAGGATAGAAAACTAAACGTCATATAAAATATTCAACTATCTACTATAAGGTATTAAAACTCCTTTTTAACCGACTTCATTTCTTCCAGGTACATCCTCTCACTGGCATTGGCAGATCTCCTGGTTATCATCACATGTGTGCCATTCACCTCCATCGTGTATACAGTGGAGTCGTGGCCCTGGGGAGCCACCGTCTGCCGCGTGTCAGAAGCAGCGAAAGATGTCAGCATTGGCGTATCAGTATTCACGCTGACAGCTTTGTCAGCTGACAGATACTTCGCCATTGTTGATCCGTTGAGAAAGCTACATGCTACAGGTCAGTTCTAGTTGATAGTATTTCTTTTTTAGACATCTAAGCCGCACATTTCCTCGAAACAAAAAAGAATTGAAACTTACAAATATTTCAACAATATTTTTTAACAGTTTAAAGTGATTTTCGTGTCCAATAACTATTTAAAATTACATAGTAAAACACAACAATCTATAGATATTTTTAAAATTCTACGAACTTGAAATAAAATAAATACTGTGAACCGATAGTACCTAAACTTAGCATATAAATTGCACTAATAAGCCCAAAAATCGCTTTTAATACAAGAGACTGGAAAACTACAACTTCTACTAGTTAATAAAATTTTCCACAAAACACATTAAAAACAAAAAACGATCGCACTTGTAAGCCACTACAAGTCTTTTGTTGACGCTTCTAGGAACGATGTTGTTTTTATAGAGCTACGTTCGTCCACAAACTTCTTTTTACACATTCCTGTTAGCCGGCAGCGGTTACGATAATCCGGAAAATGTAGAAGCTTTTCCTCGTACCTTTGCCGTACTGGCACTGCACACGGCAATCTGGTACATGTGGATATAGGCTTAACGGTTTTTTCACTTATGTATGTAGTGAACAAGTTTTGCATATTACCTATATTCTATATTTAAATTTCTCTTACTTTTTTGTGTTAAATTTGTTTTACATCCGGTGTTTTAAAAAAAGTTTTAATAACTGCGTTATATTATCAACTTTTTTCTTTATTGACTCTTTGATTTTACAGCAGTTTAAATTTCTAGCTAGAGTTATTTAATGGAATAAATATGTTTTGCTTATTGTTTCGAAATAAAATGAATAATTTTTGGTTTCGTTTTCTTAGTTACGTTGAACATGTTCGATTAAAATTTCTAATTATATATAACAGGTGGGCTTAATGCCATAATAAACCAAACCTTTGGATGATGCAGAGATAATTGAAAAGGTGGACAAAGAAGCACCATTTGAAACATTGGTGCAATGTATATGGATAAGTTTTAAATCGCTAATCGACATTGAGCGAGTGTGATGATAAATTCTTATACCTTATATACGCGAGAGCCTTCGATTAGTATTGGGGACTTGAAGGCTACTGATGATGATGCATATATCTGATTGGAGAGATGTCATAGTAAATTTGCAGCATAGTATAAATAATTAATTTGACATTGCTTTTTTCAATAGTCAGATAAATGTTATATGAGGAATAAAATTATGGTCACTGTCTTATAAAAACATTCTGTCGCGACAACATCATAATTATTACCTAGGTAACTTTTTTCTAACCATTGAAAAATTAGCCTAATTATCTAACACTCTGACTTGGCTCCTGGTATTAATATTTTGTTTTAGGTATAATGTTAGCTTGAGTCAACATAAATAGTTTAAAATATCACTTATAATTTTATTAACATACTTTATTAAGTTGATATAACATTAAACCTTCGTTCTCCTTATTACAAAGTCAAACTTAAAATTATTCAAGGGTGCTAACAATATTCATATTTAAATGAAAATGGTCTTTATGCTTCCGTTAAACTTTGTTATAAAATGCTCATATTAACGCTTAATGGGATTAAAATGTACGCAAACGAGAAAACTTTGTGAATTGCTTCTTTGAACTATGTACGAAGTGTATACTTTTAAACATAATCTAAGCCTCGCTAAATATTATATGTACTTAAGGTTATTTAAATCTGACTGCTGCGCGACGTCGCCTCGACGCGCACGCTGCTCATGAATGAGAGCATCGATGTGACTTGAAACTTGTAGAGCTTTTCCCAGTTAATTCATTCACGTGAGTAAGTCGTGATTTTTAAGTAAACAAAATCATCACTAAGGAATAGTTTAAGTACCTAATCGTTAAATATATCTGTAGTATTAGGTACGTCTTTAATTTCTAAAAGGACTAATAAAAACTGAGCCATCTCTTTGAAAAAATAATTAATTAATTTTTTTTTGTTTCGAACTCGTATTAATATTTAAGGAGGAAAATTAATGAACTAGATGCAAAGTTTGAGTTGTTTGATTGATATCATGTTTATTGATTCTTATAACTGTTCTTCATTAATAATTTACTGAAACTTATGTTATATTTTACTACCAAACTGTTTCTTCATAAATAAAATAATTTTTGGCCATTCTGATTCAACCAAATCGCTCCAGCTCTTTAAGCGTGTGGATAACAAACATAAATACATTCTTACAAGCTTTTACATTTATAATATTGTAGTAGGATAGTAGAATTTATAATAATATAGTAGGATGAACTAGGCTACCTGCGTATATTATATTTTTTTTATTAATTTCTACAAATAATTAGTATATTATTACCGTGTTATTGATTTAAAAGGCGTAAGCAAGGGTCTCGTTTTAAGAGTCACTCGCGAATCAATACTATTAAAAAAACACACTAACATTGTCAAGAAAACACACACACATCGTTTAAATAAATAAAATCTTCATAGTCATAAATCGATACAAATCGCAGACGATGTAAGAAAACTTTGAGGAAAAATGGACTTAAAATTTTTAATGAAAAGTTTGAATTATCCGTGTGAGTGGAGGCCTTTTGCATAACAGTGGAACACTGGAAGGTTACGTTATCCCCGCAAGAGTAGTTACTTACTTGCACAACTCCATAGTGAATCTGTATGGTATACACCTACTTCGATAGTTGCCCAATAAGAGGCTAAGAAAAGTTCGCTCCAATAGCCATGATTGATTGAATAACTTCCAACTTATGATTGATACCTTTTATTCTATATCAAAACGAACATGGGTTTTCGAAAAAGTAATCGTAATACTGTTTCTATGAGTCCGATACCCATATTCTGCATGTTCTTGAGAAAATACATCAAAAATATATTTCATTAACATACTTTCGACCCGCCCCGGCTGCATAGGTGCAGTGCTGACACTATTAAACATTATGTATAAACCATAGTTTTCAATCATTCTCTATTAACAAGACTGAATCAAAATCTCAATGTAATGGTGGCCCGAAGGTTTAGGGGTGCTTCAAAACCAGGCAAGTACCAATTTTCCGATTTCTATTTTTTTTATTTTTTTATACGTTGTTTCACACTAAGATTTTCTCATGTGTCGTGGATGCGGTTACAAACGTACAATTATATGTACTTTCTTAGATTATTTAGACACCACTGACATACGGTGAATATCGTGAGGAAACTCACACTTATAATACACGAGAGACATGTGATGATATGATTGATAAATGCTCAAACCTTCTCGGTGTGAGAAGAAGCCTTTGCTCAGCAGTGGGCATTTATAGGCTGATGATGATGCATTAAAATCAAAATCCGTTGCGTAGTTTTAAAGATTTAAGTATGCATATGCATAGAGACATAGCAAGCGACTTTGTTTTACACTATATAGGGAAAAACAAACAACAACATACGCAATTCTTTTACTTAACTATTAATTAAATATCTATATTACATCAAAACATTCAATGTCAAAAACCATGAGGAAACTGTCTTGAAATTATTTAAATTATGTACTGAGTGCACTAAATTTAGGTATTTATAATTTAAATTTATTTTAAACTAACCGCCCTTAGCGTTTTACTAAACTACTTTTTTGTCTTATAATCTACGAAGTTTCTATTCAGCCTTTATGAACCTAAAAATAACAATACAACAATAAGCCAATAAAATAAAAATTCCACAATTTCGCTCAACAATGAAATATGCCACAATAATAAAATAAAAGAAACGTGAGACAAAAATAAATGATTTGTTGCCAACGAAAAGTATAATAATTTTTACATCGAAATAAAGAGTAAAAAACAAGAGTATAATACAAGTCTAATTCTGTCAAATAAATTGGGATAAAAGTTAGGATTCTAGTATGAACCAGTTTTTTATGTAGTCAATAAATTGTATCGTCGCCATCGTAACGCGTGTCTAGCAAATCCTCACCAAAATCGAGGTACAAAGGGATTTGTGATAGTCGTAAATATCATTGAATTATTGTGCTTAGAATGCCTAAACCTTTTTAGAGGTATGGCAAAACGAATTTGTATCACAATACCCTTCAGATGTCGCCAGTTGTGAGCACCTATCAAAAGCCAGGAATAGAATTTTGAGAACTATCCAGGTATAGATCAAAATACTCAACTTTCTGAATTTTTTCATCAGCATCATTATCATCATCTGTGGCTGTAAGTGCCCATTGCTAAGAAAAGGTCTCTCCTCACACAATTACCACGCTTGCTCAAAATGTGATGTTCTTTATGATGTTTTCTTCACCGGATGAGGGTAGTGTCTAAATTATCTCAGAAAGTACATAGGACTTGGAAAACGTCAACTTCATGCATGAAAAGCCTTAACCTACGAACCATCACGACTTATTAATATCAAATATTAAGGCTTATATAGAAAATTTAAGAACAGCATCCATTCAACGACATTGGCGTCGACGTAATAAGGATATTTTCATAGTTCTAATTATTATTTCCAATCTCATTAGCATTTCTATATTTCGTTTTCCTACTAATATATGGACAGAAGCGAAGCGTTTAATTCCAAAGCGACGACGGAATAGAAGTGAAGTAGATTATCCTATCAGAGGACGCGTTGACGCCGTAAATACCCTCCACATGCGGATGTACAGATCTGCAACGGTTCGGCTAATCACTTTAACACGTCCCTCTAATTGTTTTAGCAGCCAAATCAGTGTAACGCCCTCTGGTATATGTAATTTGTTAAATCTTAATGCAATGCCTGCTATGAACTACTTTTAGATTCATTACCATTTAGTACCATTAGTTTTTTTTGTAGTAACTATCGTGAGACAAACTTTCGGCTTCGAGACGTCGCCGCTACCTGCATGATGCTCACAAATAACAAAGGGAAAAAAATGTATCATTAATAGTAGGATTGGGTATTTATAGACGGGCTAAGGTTTTATTAACCGTAATAACACAAAAATTAGCTTTTCTCAGTTCTCCAGATTTAAATCTTTATATACAAATAATAAGCATATCAAAAATTTCTCTCTATTTCGATTTGAATGAAAGACCTGATTTGACGATTTTGTTATTTTTACATGTAAAAGTGCTGTGTCATGGCCTATTTACAATAATAAATTCATTGTTTGATTTAGGGCATACGTGATCGTAAGACTTGCGTAGGTGAAACAAGATTTTTATTTGATTTCAATGTATTTCAGTTCGAAAATCCACATTTCAAATAATTTTATGAATTAATTTTAATCATACGTTTGTAAACGTATTGTATTGTACAACATATAGAACACAATGGTTTATTATTATCCAATTCTAAAACTTAATTTGTAGTCAAATTAAAAATTCTAATCAAATTCAAATGACCACCATGAAAACTAAAAAAATGTTTGTAGCACGGCGTAGCCTACGGTAAAGAATTTCGTAGTAAATACTACGGGACGTTAAATAATAATATTATGTCCTATGTGCTACGCAATCTATCCATGCACGGCTACGCGCGCCATCGCTATCGTTACACATAGCGTTCAGATTTTAAACATTCAACATGGCAAATACAAAAAAAGAGGTTTCATAA